AAAAGGCTAACACCACTACTCAGATCTGGACAGAAAGATCCAACGGCCTAGCTCAGTTGGTAAGGCACGCAAGTGGCATTCAGGAGGTCTTGGGTTCAATCCCCATTGGCCTCATGTACCTTCCTCCCGCCACCTAGAGATATGCTGTTGGTCCCCCCGAGTGGCATTGAGCAGAGACTGCAGATGTTCTTAGGGGCAGGGGACCAGAGGGACAGCACAGTGACTGGCCCATCATAGAAGCTCGGTCCTGATGCTACCGGCTGACCCCTGGCCGGTATCGCCCACCTGCTGTAGCAGGTATCGCACCTGCTGGTGGGTGCAGTTCCCGCATGCTCCCTCGTGGAGTCTTGAGCACGGATGTGGCTGCTACAGGCTTCCCCGTAATACTACAATGACAATAACCAAGGCCTGAATGGCCGTCCTGTCCAGATTCAAAAGGTATTTTCATTGGTTGGGCTTGAAGAATTAGCCTTTTTTAACTTCTTTACAGAAAAAAAAGAAAAAAGAACAATCTGGACAGAAAGGCCTTTCATGACTTTTATTATCATTATAGTGTTACGGGGAACCAGGTAGCAACCAGGCCGAGTTCAAGCCTCCAACGAGGGAACATGCGGGGGCTGCACCCGACCTGCAGGTGGGCGATACTGGCCAGGGGTCAGCCCTTAGTGTCAGGGACCATGCCAACTGGACCAATCCCTGGGCCTCCCCTCGGGTGCACTCCCCCTACAAACATCAGCAGTCTCTGGTCAATGCCGATTGGGGGGACCAACGGGCTATCTCAAGGTGGCAGGCACCAACCTTACGCAGGAAGGTAGATGAGGCCAATGGGGATTGAACCCAAGACCTCCTCCAGAATGCCACTTGCGTGCCTTACTTCCCTAATCTCTAATACTCTTAAAAGTTACGAAGGTCCCAGCGACACATGCCACTGCGGGCCCACGCGAAACCGTGGCAGGGGCCAGCCGCCGGGTGTGGCCACGGAGGGGCAAGACCGGAACCGTGACTGGCGCCAACTGACACTGGGCCCATGGGGAAAGCAGCGGGGGGGGCACAAAAAGCAAGCGCCACGCTAAGGCCACGCGCGGGCGCAAAGCAAGCGTCGCACTAAGGCCATGCCTGCAGAGCGAAGCGGGGCCCCATGCGGGGAAAGAGGCAGCAGGGCAGGGCGCGAGAAGCCAGAGCCACACGAAAAGACAAACGAGCGCACGCGCAAAAAGCAAGCGCTGAGTGTGTGGGCAAGGGGCAAAAAGCAAGCGCATCAGCCATGCAAGACGCACGTCCCGTCTGCACATAGGGCGAGGAGAGAGAGAGAGAGAGAGAGAGAGAGAGAGAGAGAGAGAGAGAGAGAGAGAGAGAGAGAGAGAGAGAGAGAGAGAGAGAGAGAGA